TTTGACCTGTTTATGAAGTTCCACATAGTTTTGGGTTTGTTGAATGAGGTTTTAATTTTATAATTATTTTGAGCAAGTTGTGTTAATTTAATAATCTTTTTAAACAATTTTGAGTAAGTCATGTACATTGTACGTTATTAATTCGAAATGACTAGTGACAACTATTTAAAAATTGTTTCTACTGTACTGAAATATTCTCTATAGGTAGTATTCTATTTTCCAACAAAAACCACGCTACCAGCGCAACTCCCTACGCACCCTCAATTCGTTGTACCTGTAGTGTCTATTAGATTTATTCAGATAAATAAAAACCAATGCACTAACGTTATAAAAGTGTATATATTAAAACAAGAAAGGAGTATCAATAATTATACAAAGTGACAAGAGATTTTTGTGATTTCGATGCGCGCGCGATCACTAGCCGTGGCGGAGTGTGTGGGCGAGCGAGGGGGCGCGTGCGGGTCAAGCGCGGGGAGGCGACGGCGACGACAGCGCTCGATGTGTCAAGCGGGCGACTCCGCGAACACGCGAGGCGTCCGAGTCCATCAACGCGGGCTGGGGCTCCGCTAGCGGCCGGGCCGTGTGTAGGTATAGCTAAGGGTGTGTACAAGCGTGCGGAAGCATAAGGCCGTGTACAAATGTTGTAAAGTATTAGGTGTTATGGTATGAATGTGAGTGTATGTGTGTATGTTTTATGTAAGTATTTGTTATGTATATTATCTTGTACCTTAGCTATATCCTACATACCCTACCATACCCAGAACAAATAGAGTAGGGTACATCAGGGGGTGAAATGGATAAACTCCATAAAGTTTAAAATACAAGTGTCTTGTAAATTTATTGTAATTTTTTTAATTGTAATTTTAAAATTTCAAGTTTAATTTCTTCTTGTTCAGTTTTTAATTTTTCTTGTACCAGCATTTCTTTCTCCCTCTGCTCTTGAAGCCGCATAATTGCCATATTTGCGGCATGTTCTTCATCAGCATTTTTATAACATTTTAGCAACGTGTTGATGCGTTGCTCGTTAAGGCTTTCACGCATTAAAATTGGCCTTCTGTGACTTGCCGTCGCTATAGGGCGTTCAGTGGATGCTCTGCAACAATTAAACAATAATTTTATTAAATACCTAAATATAAAAAATGACATATAATAACAGCTAATAATTTAATATTGTAGTGATTATTGAAACAGTTTACTTCCTTACTTGAATTGTATATTTTATGAAAAGAGATAATGAACAGTTTATAATACATATTACTAACCTAGGTGGAGTGATAGTTGTTCTTTCATGTGGTGGTTCCACTCTACTGCCAGTTGCCTCAGGTGATGGACTCCTTGAGGCAACAAGTGCTGTGGTAACTGGTGCTCTCAACATTGCTGGAGTGTACTGAGACCAGTCCTGCATAAAATACAAATTTATAAAAAATATATAATAGTTTTTAATTTTGGACATCATCTGTCAAAGAAGAGAGGAAGGGCCTTAAAAAACAACATTTATGTCCTTTTAACTAACTTTTTTTATAAGGTCCTTTTAACTACCTAAGCTCTTCAGTTACTTCTGCTTGCTTCAGAGGTAAAACAATCCTGAAACGACTATGTTCAGTGAGGACCTGCGTCATGCAGGTAAGAAACATGTTACGTTTTGCCAGTCTTCAAAGAGGGGACCTAAGTATCATGATGATGGTATTAGTATGAACTGACCACCATGCTGCACCTTGTACTTAAGAGTAAATACCGATATAGAGTCGATTGTTTTCAAATATAGTTCACAATACTTACAACTTCAAATGTAGCAGCAGCTGTCTCAGTAACTACAGCGGCCTCCGTGGAGTCCTGTACATCAAGTACAGGAGTAGCACTGGCATCTATAACAAATTATTTAATAAAAATAGTGAATATCACTTTAGGCTTATCACATATAATGTTATGTACATATTATACATCTTTCATCAATTTTTGTGTCACTTATCATAAAAACTACGAACTTTTAGAGTAATTTTTTTCCTCCCTAAACAATGATATGAAAACTGGTCAAGTGCAAATGAGACTAATGCAAAGTACAATACTGTTCTTTATTTTATGGAAGCCCCACTTACGATGCTTTTTTTAAGTATATTTATTATGTATTGTTAAATTTTCATGAGCAGCAGACTGCTCATGAAAATAATAATGATAATATTCCTTAATTTTCACACAATGCTGTCTATACCCAAACTAAGCAGAGCTTATAGTTAGAGTAATAGACAATTGTTAAACATATTTGTTTAAATTACTCTACTATTATCTAAATTTCAATATAATACATGCATGGTACCAAGTTTAAATAAATGTACATAATATAATAACAATTTCCATATTTACTGGCAGTCGCAGACTTTGGCAGAGTTCGGTGACAAACCTACATATTGGTACATATTCTATGTATATGTAAATAAAAATGAAGGTTTGTCTGTGTGTCCTTTATAGAACCACTAGCTTTTACCCGCAGCTTCACTCGCGTCACAAATGGATAAAAAGTAGCCTATGTGACATAATATACACACTGCGCCATCTATACCAATGATTTCGTTTTTCCTCGAGAACATCACATATTTCTGGGATAAAAAGTACCCTATTATTTAATCCAGACTTCTAACTTTACGTTTGCAAAAATTCAAAGCAATCGGTTTAGTAGTTACGGCGCGAAAGGGGAACAAACAAACAAACTCACTTTCCGATTTATAAAATTAGTAAGTATAAATTATGCATAGCATCATATAATGCAATGATCATCAGCAAAGTTGATGTGCATGTGCACGAGTCCATGATGATGATATCAAAGTTGGTATAACCAATTCAAAGTGTGTAAGGTCTAACAAGTAAAGTAGTAACTATATACAATAATATAAAGATAATAAAAAGTTCTAGACTTGTGAAAAATCTTACCTAAAATATGAGTGCCATCGGAGTCATACACATTAACAAATCCAGACACTCTAGTCTGGATAAGATCTAGAACTCGATCGATTGCTGGATCTACATTTAATTTTCTGGGTGGACCTCCTCCTTAAATATGAAAAAGAAGGTGAAGTTAAGTAGCAGCAACTTATCACAAACAAACTTGAAACTATAGCAAATATTTTCGGTTTTTATTATTGGGTTACTATGAGATTTTCAGATTATTATTATTCAATGATTTTTTTACCTGTTCCCAAATAATATTGGTTACGTGCTGTCTGCTCACTTTTGGCTCTCTTCTTTAAGTTTTCCCAGCAGTTTTTCAAAACAATCCATTCTCTTGGATGGACTGACGAAACAGAATTAAATTCTTCTGCAATTTTTTGCCACTCCTGGTTTTTGATACGTATTGTTGTGGCATCGGTTTTTATACACTCTACAATAGCAAAGTGTTTCTCCACTAGATCCACTAACGCCATTTTTTCACTTGCGACAAAGGTCGGATCTCTCTTCCGCTTTAAATTTTCGGTTTTGTTAGACATGGCGTATATACCTACACAAAGGCGTACAAACAAAAATCCAAAGTCCTTAATGCGCGTAGCTGTGGTCTCGTAATAGAAAGGGGTCCAGTCCGATAAAGCAAGCAAAGGTCGTCGTAAAAGCTAACACTAGTCCGAGAATGAAAAGCAGGGTCACAGAAATCGCACAGAAAAATAAAGATGAGCACTCGTCAAACACAAAGTTTTACCAAAGAGTATATTAAGCAAAGACTACTATAGTATACTGGCTGACTGGCTGATATTTAGTAAAAGTATATGGGATGTTTTAACGAATGATTTGAAATTTTCTACATCGGGGAATAAAAACAAAGTTGCCATTGTATGAATAAAAGTTAGAACAAAAATATTACTTTTTCATTATTTAAATGCATTATTCATTGCTTTTTTAAATAAGAAGTGTTTATTATAGGAAGTAAATAGGATACTATATAAAAATTGCTTTATATTGGATAATGGTTTTTTTTTTCAAATCATGTTTGTATTATGTTCCCCGTTTCATATGCGATTTCATTCTGAGCTTGTAACACTGTGAATGAATCATATTTCGTTCCGTTGCTACTAGTAAAATATATATTTTTTATAATAATATTAATTTAAATTAATACATATGTTAGACAATGTTAATTTAAAATATTTTTTTTTTTTATGGAATAGGAGGCAAACGAGCAGACGGATCCTGATGGTAAGCGATCAGCGCCGCCCATGGACACCCGCAACACCAGAAGAGTCACAGGTGCGTTGCCGGCCGTTATTTTAATGCGTTATTTATTTGTTTAAGATCAGCCAACGACTGTTTATACATGCAAACCGCAGCAGGTCGCTTAACTCCTTGATGCATGTTGTGGAAACAAAACGCTCCTGTAACTCTCTCGTTGTAAACTAGTTTTGGTGGGATGGTGCCGGAGAAATCGGTTTGAAGTAAACTCAGATTACCCAAATCCACACCGGTCCACACGAGTCTTTAAACTTAGCTTACGTGTAACTGAGTTTTTACAGATCTTGGTGAAATTGGGTCTAAGACGGTGTATATTTATGGAGTAGATTTTTAAAGTAGGAGAAGTAATCGATGCGCAAAGATGGAAAATGATAAACACCGAGCTATACTTTTGTATGACACAAGGTCAATTCTAAAAGACGATGCTCACCCGCGTTCCGTGGTGGCGGCTGCGATGACATATCAACTATTTTATAGGAAATGTTTTAGGAAATGTGTGAAATAGATAAATGGCAACACCACTACCATCGCAGCCCGAGCGATCGTTTTTTATCAATTGGAAAACAGGTAAGGACTAGGAGGGGGAAGGAAGGCACGGTTTTAACCAGGATTCGGATACAAGGATGGCGTAGATATTCTTACATTACAATTTGCTGTATTATTACTAGTTCGCTGATAATGGCAATACAATGCGCGTCGGTGCCTTTGAAGATTTTAAATACCATGAGGCGCTATATCCAAAATCCACTTATTCTATGTAATTGGTTTTTCAAAGGAACCTAAAATTTTACATGACTCATACACATGCACTAGAATCACGCTAGTTTGCTGATATTGGCAATACAATGCACGTCGCCTTTGAAGATTTTAAATACCACGTCCACCAGGCGCTATAGCCAATTAACGAAATGTTTTAGGATACACCTAATCTCAACACAAACCTAAACACAATAAGCACCTACCTAAATGTCTAGTACAAATAAGTTTGAGAAGCCCCAGTCTATGCAAGCAAGAAAAAGATAAAAGATTTATTCAGCATCAAGCACGATGTAACATAAGTAAAATATAAAAAAGACAATAAAAGTGTGACAGTGGAAGTAAGAACAACATTATGTTAAAAAATTAAAACTCTTCTGTTTTAATCAGATGTGTTTGACAAAATGCCCAAATTTGTCGAGGTATACCGCCGACAATATGACGGCACTAGGATTTTTATAGCATCTGACGCTTTATCGGGGCTCCAATCCCAATTTTAGTTTTCAATACTCTCACAGTAGAGAGAAAATACCCGAAAAAACTAGAATTAAATGACGATAAATGTCTATTTTTAACCGACTTCAAAAAAAGGAGGAGGTTCTCAATTCGACCGTATATATGCTTTTTTTTATGTTTGTTCGCCGATATCTCCGTTGTTTATGAACCGATTTTGAAAATTCTTTTTTTGTTAGAAAGAAGTTAGTTCGAAAATGGTCCCATGATAAGAAAATCAGGATCTGATGATGGAAGACCAGGGAAACCTTGGGGAACTTTTAAAAATTATAGGGGTGACTAGGGCATTTGTTAATTTTTGCATTAAGTATTGAAAACCACTACAATCTGATAAAGGTCTGGAGCCGATCTGATGATGGAGCCGAGAGCCAATTGAGGGAACTCCTCAACGGTTAACAGTAGCTACCTTGTGTTTGGGTTTGATTAATTTGTGTTGATGAGGACTTTACACCTGAGTATGGTGTAATTGTAAATAAGGGTCTGATGATGAAGTAGTACGATAGTTGAGGGAACTCCTTAACGGTTAACAGTAGCTACCGTGTGTTTGGGTTTGATTAATTTGTATTGATGAGGACTTTACACCTGAGTGGGGTGTAAATGGTCATTAAAGGTCCAATGATGAAGTAGTATGATAGCTAAGGGACTCCTCAATGATTAAGAGTACCCACCCGGTTTTTGAACTTGAATAATTTGTATTGATGAAAACTTTGCATCTATGTGGGTCGTGTATAATATAATATATCAAAGTACTAAACTAAAAAGTATAAAATATAATTAAAAAACTGCGTTTAAAAAACCGACTTCAAAAACTAATGACAAACCAAAAGTAAAAACTAAAAAGGAAAAAAAATACTATTTGTGGTCATACGTACTTATAGCTTACACACCCACTGATAGGTTAGAAGTCGGTGCCACAAACCCACAACAAAATATAAAGTAGTTAATGGTCACAGCTGGTATAATCCATAATAAAATTGTAAATAGCTCAATAATGTTAGTTAACTAGTTAGGTTTTAATAATGAATAATTTTGTTTAAAACTTGTGGCACTGACTTCTAACCTATCAGTGGGTGTGTAAGCTATAAGTACGTATGACCACAAATAGTATTTTTTTTCCTTTTTAGTTTTTACTTTTGGTTTGTCATTAGTTTTTGAAGTCGGTTTTTTTAAACGCAGTTTTTTGTATTTATCCGAAAAATCGCCAGCCTTTACAATTGAAGATTTTTTAGGTTTATTCACCCCAATAAGAATGCTAAACCGTAAATTAAATAATTGTGACATTAAACATTTTTTCTTATTAACGTTTCAATTAAATTATTGGGTGATAACTTTTCGTCATCATTCAAGGGACCAAAAGGTCAATATCCAACGCTAGTTATCTAAAACCTTTGTTTAAATGTCTTCTGTC